GGCCGGGGCCGCTGGCTGCACCCAGCACCGGAGCCGGAGCCGCGGCCGCCGCCATGTCCCACCAGACCGGCATCCAAGGTAACGGCGCCCGGTGCGGCCCGCGGGGAAGGGGTTCCGGGGAGCCGGGCGGGCTGCGGGGAGGGAAGGGCCCGCGTCGGGTCGGGAGTCGATCTCGCGGGGCGAGCCTGGCCTCTGCGCCTCCCCGAGCTCTCGTTTCCCGGGCGCTCCCGGCCTGCGTCCCTTTCAGCCCTGGCCCCGGCCGCCGCCACGTTGCAGGCGGACCCGAAATTCGGAGGAGCGAAGGAAAGTGGTTTCCACGGTGGCCTGGGTGAAGGGGGCGTGCCCTCCATCGCCCGCGACATTAGCCCAACTTTCCCCCTCTTTATCAGGTAGGGAAGCGCTGGTACCGTGGAGGTGACTGGGGTTCCTCTTGCCGTCCAGAGCCGGCGAGTTTTCCTTGTCACCGTCCAAGGAGATTTTTACAGGACTTTGATTGTAAAAAGAAGCATGCCAGAGTCTTTCCCAGATCAGTAGGGATGCTTCCCAAACTCTTCCACATTTGCTCCCAAAATGGGACCGTGAATTGTGTTCTGAGAAATCTGAGTATGGGGGCTGTTTCGATCTTTTTACTAGGCACTTCCCAGGGGAACTGAAAAGTCTGATCTGTGTGGTTGCGTTTAATCATTCCCGTGCAGACAGTTGAATGGGCAATTATAGCTGACCTCCATTATTTCTTGGTTTGAAACGGGCAGCCTGGAAGCGCTCACCTCATCAGAATCAAATAATATACCCCGGGGTTACTCGAGATCTCTTAACGAGTTCTCATATAAACCCAAGCTCTTCCTGTTAATTGACAACGAATCTTTTCCCCAGATGAACACTTACTTGTGTGTTTTATTGTTAACGGTCGTTGACAACAACCCACACATCCCCGTGTACGCACACACAGCAAAATAGTCTCAAGTCTAAAAGCATTGTTTTATTTGTCTGCGTTAATTTTGACATTTAAATATGTATTTACTGACCTTCATGCTTGAGCCTTTAGCAAGCACTACTTAAGCAGTGTTTTTTGCTCTTAACAGACAACAAAAGAACGAAATTAGAATGAAATTGAAGTTTTAATGGGAATACAAGGGTTAGGTTACTAAATATGTAATTGCTTAATGAGTTTACTCTAGCTTTTGGAGAAACATAAGTTAGCAAAATGTAACCAGAAGTATAAGATAGAATGCATCTTATTGGCTTTTTCTTTAATCAGGATAGGATATCTGATATTTACTGTTCTTAATGGAAAAATACAGATAATGAATTGGTGTAGGAGGTGTCCGTCACAAGCTTGAAATCTAAGTAGAACACACTGAAAGCAAGCTTTCAACATATTTCAAACAGTAAAGATTTTTTTCAGAATTGTAATTTGCCTGTTATTGGGTTTGAGTAACTTCAATCTATTCACTTCAGTGTTATTTCTACTACAGAATTATCTAGCTAAGGCACATTAGAATTATTATTAATCTACTTAAAAATATATTAATATTTGTTTCTGTGCTATATACAATATTCACTATTTTATGCCTTTGAGTTTTGTAATACTGATAATAAGAGAATGCTACATACTCCAGATGTTTTCTTTGTACTGTAATTCATTTTTCTCATATAATAGTAAAAGAAAATATACTACATAAGTATTTAAAAAGATAGGTTTACTTTTCTTTATCTTTTTCCACAGCAAGTGAAGATGTTAAAGATATATTTGCCAGAGCCAGAAATGGAAAATACAGACTTCTAAAAATATCTATTGAAAATGGTTAGTTAAACATTTAAAAACATTGTTTGTCCCTGGACTATTGGGTGTTATATGTTTAAACTTCTAAGTGTCATCAGTGATTTCAACTATTAATCAATGTGAGGATTCCTCACATTTTGTCCAGGTCCCTGTGGGTCCCTGTTTTCCTTCTGAATTCTGTAGCTGACTATCAGAGAATCAGAAAGATGTTTTTGGTGTGATGTCTTCTTTCACTTTTTGTCTGAGTTTCCGTGCCACAGTCCATTTCTGATGTCAGTAAGCAGGTGGTTTTCCAAAAAGAGAGTTACCTGTGAATTATTTTTCACTAGTTTGTTTTGAAGTAGAAACAAATGATTTCAGACTCCCCCATTTTCTCTACTTGATCGCTCCCTGTGCTACAGAAATGATTACCCTTTTTTATTACTTCGGGAAAGTTCTGAGAATGTAACAAACTGTAAGCAGGGAAACTGGTTGGGTGGGATTTTCAATCAGGTAGATTTGAATTTGAACAATTACTATTATAATCACTTGATCACAAATAAATTTGTTCAAATATTCCATTGGCCTAATTTCTTAAATACCTTGAAATATTTTGCTTTGGAAAAATAGATTGTTCTTTCATAAACAGGAAGTAAATCTAATTTGTTTTCTGCTTATATATTAAAAATACTAGAATAGTTTGTAAAATATGTAATTGTTCTACTTATATTGCAACATTCAACAGGGATAAATATATACTATAAAGCAGCATGTTTTAGAAATATTGAGCTAAAATTTTAAATGCCATCACTTTCCAAGTGACTAGTTAAGTAAAATGGAAAAGTTAAAGTTTATCTAATTAGCATCTCTGCAGAAGGAAAATTTGACTATTTCCTAAATCATTACCTTCTGGTTTACTCTTTGTTTTGAGAAAATGTTTTAAATAAGGACATTCCAAAGAATAAAATAATATGAGGAATCTTCAAAAAAGTTCATGGAAAGATTCATATTATCTTTTAATTCTGTTTTTCCATGAACTTTCTGAAGTACCCATATAGCAAATACCTATATCCCCCTTAAATTAATAACTGGTGACATTTTATCATAGTTGCTTCAAGCCTTTTTTAAAATTTAATATTTTTCTGATGTAAGAGTATCCCCCAACAGTTCTACCTTCTGACCTCCTTCCCCTGAGGCAGCTACAAATAGGAGTTTTTATATTTGTATGATCCTTTTTTTGCATGTATTCCTAAATAGCATATGGTGCAGTTTTGAGTTTTTAAGCTCACATAAACTGCGTGGTTTTTAAGCTCACATAAACTGCGTGATACCGTCTTATTCTGCATCTTTCCTTTTTCCGTAAATGTTATTTTTGTAATTAGTTTTGATAGAGAGCTCATTAATTCTTTTTAAACATGAATACAATGGTATCATATAACTATGCCACATACTTCTTGTCCATTCTCTAATTCATGAACATCGAAGCTATTTTCAGTTTTCACTGTTACTGTATAGTGCTGCAGTGAACACCTTTGTACATATGTGCAGGAGATTCTCTATCCAGAGTATATTCACATTTTTACTTGATTTTGCAAAAAGTGCTTCAAACTGGGTCTTTGCTTCTAGACACATTTTTTAACCTGGAGCATTATGACCAAATGGAGCTAAACCTAGTTTTATTTAATATTTTTCCTTGTACAATTCAATGTTAATTTCAGGAATTATACTTCTGAGTGGTAGTACAGTAATTTAAATACATTTATTGATAATTTATAGCATAATCATTTTGGAAAATAGAAATATAATCACCCATTATCCCATCATTTAACTATTATGATCATTTTTATATGTTTCTTGTGATATATATATATATATATA